CAAACTGCGAGCTTATTCCCATAGAAATAACGTTCATAAACGTGAATTATGAGGAAAGGTTGTAGAGTTATATATGCTCTCGATTCTTTTCATGCATTGCAGTATCTTTAGTACTTGAAATATGATTCTTCTCAGTGTTTTATTCTCATTGAAGCAAAATTAAAGTGAATGGTATTTCTTTTTTAATTATAAAATGTTTTCCTTGATCATAGTTGGAAGTTTATTCATGAATTTATATTCACCTTCTGCTCTGAAAAACATTTACATTTAGAACTTTTTAGATAGATTATTTCAAATGTTCTCCTTTGTGCTAGAGTTACAAATATAATGTTTTTGTAAAATTGTCCTTAAGTAAATCAGTGGTTACTATTGAATGTATGTATATATTTATCAGCTTTTGTCACAGTAGTACTATGCAAGACAGGTTGGGTTCCCTGGAAAGCAGATCATGAAAGAAATTTATGAAGTTCCTTTGGGATCAATGCACTTAGAAGACAATAAAAGAAAAGAAAAGGAAAAAAAAATTTGGGGGGTTGGAGGCATGGGTCAGGTGGTAGAGCTCTAGCCAATGAGTAAAAGCATCAGATATCAAGTTGGAGTTCCAGTCTTGGACCCCCACCCCTAAAAAATGCGTGGAAGAGAGGAGGAGGCAGGAGTGGACAACAGGAAAAGTGCATTGGGATGCAGTCTGAATAAAACCCTCAGCTGACTCCACATATATGCCAAGAATTGCTCAAATCAGGACCTTTACATCCCTGCCACATTGAGTGTCAGCTGCTCCAGATCTCCAGATGGAAATATGACCTTGGGTGATGAATCTCTCTTAAATTGAGAAAATTACATAGGAAACCAAGAGATGAGGGTTGTCTGCACAATGCACTTCTAGAAACTGGTTGAGTACATTTTTTATTCTCAAAGGGAAATAAAAGCATACTGCCCAAAAGTGCAGTAGCTTATAACAATAAACTTTAATTTCATTACTAATCTATAGATTGTCTATGATTCGGATAAATTAGACTGGTCTAAGGAAGGGGCCAAATACATCTGCCTCATGTATTTCTCATCCTGTGTGGGTAAAAGTCAGCAGCAGAAGAGGGCAAGGCCTTGTGTACAAGCACATGTCAGGCCTTTGTTATGTCACATATATTAACATGGTCAAGCACAACATGAGTGGAGCAGAAGAATAGCCCCTATAGATATCCCAGGGGAGGAAGGGAGTAGTTGCTGGGCAACAATCTAATTTACCATATTGTGATTCTAGTTAATGAACAAAAGATGAGAATCCTATTGCCAAGTTTTCCTTGTCATTCTCCCTCCTAAAATACTTCTATTTGTCATCCCCATCTGTTATGAATGAGATGAAACATGACAACACCTTCACCACTTTCTGGCAGAAAGAACAGCTTGTGCTGAGTTATGTTTTGTTTTTGTTTTTTTTTTTAAATATAGATTTGAATGGATCTTGCAATGTGTATATGTATCTTTATTGAAAAGATGGTATCTTTTGCTGAGTATTATCTGAAGGGAAGTTAGGGTTATACTTTTAAATTTTATTATTATTATTATTATTATTGTATGCTGGTACTGGGACTTGAACAGGGCCTGGGCACCGTTCCTCAGCTTTCTCACTCAAAGCTAGCACTCTAGCATTTAAGCCGTAGCTCTTCTTCTGTTTGTTTGGATTTTTTTTGCTGGTTAATTGGAGATGAGTCTCACATACTTTCCAACCCTGGCTGGCTTCAAACCATTGTCCTCAGATCTCAACTTCCTGATCAGCTAGGGTTACAGGCATGAACCACTAGCACTCGACTAAAATTTATTTTCTTATTTTAAATTGAGGTATACAGAGAGTGTTGTATATGGAGTGCTAAACTTTGATGCACACTGGCTAAATCTTTCCATACATCCATGTAACCATAACAAGATTGAGCTAAAGATTCCTTTCATGCCCTTGCCAGTTAGTACTTTAACTTTGAATGCCGTTAGTTATTTATTTTCTCAAATTTCCCTATCTCTTTACATTTTTATTCTCTTGGCGATAAACTATGTCATTGGTTATATGACAGATTTTTGTGCCCTTTCATTTTTCCTCACTTAGCCTTATTTTCTTTATTTGATAGAAACTATGCTCAGGTTTTGCTTAGAGTTCTAAAGAATAGAGTATATATAAAATCTATTCATGAAAAAAACTTCTGTGTCATCAGAAAGGTGACATTAATATGCATTTCTAGCAAATAATGTGATCCTGTTTCTTTTGTGAAATTGGTTGATTTTTAACAGAATTAGAGCTGTCCCCTAGAAATAACACAGTGCATATAGCTGGGGTGTTTTCTGTTCATACTGGCAGTATGCAGTCTTTTGTGGGCTATGTTTTATTTCTTTTTAAAATTATTTTGTCCTGATAATAGGTCTTGAACTCAGGCTAGCTTTCCCTCTGGAGTCACACTTCCAGTTCCTTTTTTTTTTTTCTTCTGGTCCTGGGACCTGAACTCTGGGCTTAAGCACTGTCTGTAAGCTTTTGTGCTCAATGCTAGTGCTCTACCACTTGAGCCACTTATGGCTTTTTGTGTTTAATTGGAGATAAAGAGTCTCACAGATTTTCCTGCCTAGGCTAGCTTCAAACTTTGATCCTCAGATCTCAGCTTCCTGAGTAGCAAGGATTACAGATAAGCACCCAGCTGCTTCTTCTTCTTCTTCTTTTTTTTTTTTTTTGGTCTAGTCTTTTCTTGTGCTGCCTAAGCTGATCTTGTATTCATGGGCTCACCTTAGTGCATCATTGTGCCTTGAATAGCCTGTGGTTTCAGTGTGAGCTTTGGAGACTTCTGGTAGTTTGTTTTAAATCACCTGTGTGATTTACTTCTGTGACTTTTAGTTTCAGAACACCATTTTTTTTATAAAACTTACTTTGTCTCAAATTTCAGCATCACATTTAATATGTATACTTTTTTGGAGGAGCTGCTGCCGATTGGACCTTGTACAAATTTGCCTTGTGCAAACCAAGCAAGTTCTCTGTCACTGAGCTACCCCCTAGCCATTATGCAATTACTGGCTTTTGGATACCTTTTAATCTTTTTGTTTTATTATCAGTTGTAAGTTTAAGAAGTTATACAGTACTGGTTTATGGACTGTATTGTTAATTAAAGAGATCCATAAATGCTATTGATCTTTTTACTTGTCTAGGTCAGTTATTCAGATATAATAATTATTTAGTTTCAAAGATAATGTAAAGCTTACAGAAGTGTATACAACAGTTAGACTTCAGAATCTATTTAGTGAGGTTAGCTAGAAAAGCAGAGTTTAGTTGTTCCTGAAATTTTGCAGAGCATAAGCAAGGAGTCAAGATCAATTACAGTGTTTTTGTAACTCTTCTATTGAATTTACTGCTCCATGTCTGTGACACATACATCAAAATACAATACTGGGCAGTGGCCCTAACAGTAATTAGAACTAGGAAATTGAGGGCTTCAAATTCTAACCATTAGGCTGCTAAGGAGCTTCAAAATTAAGAAATTAATAATGAAAGCCCTCTTTGATTTTTGTGGAATCCAATAATTTGTTTTAAGTGAGATATCAATCCCTGTTAATTACTGTATACCAAATAGTGTTCTAAATATTATATTCATATCTGTAAACAAATTCATTTTATTTCCTTATTCAGTGTTTTGATTAATCACAGCATAGGTAAATATACTTTTAGCATAACTATCAATAACTTTTACCAGATATTAGTTGGTATTTGATTTTATGTTACACTTTTGTACCAAAGAGAATTTTCCACAGTCTCCTGCTGTATATTTAAGAATCACATGGAATGTTTTAAGAGGCTTGTTAAGTGAAGAATCCTTATCTGTGATGTTCTTTTTATAAAAGGTGTAAGCCTTGGCACTCAGGTGTTACAAAGTCCAGGTGGAGGGGAGGATGCAAAGAGAACTAGTTCTCACTTGAACAAGGGTTGGATCAACTTGCCAACCAAGCTGTGTGCTTATGGGCACACATTGGAGCTGATTGTCTTGTTTTTCTGCTAGCATACAAGTATGTAAATACATGTTAGGAAAGAATCTCTCCCTGTCTGGTATAAAAACCCTTAAAAATTATTCAAAATGTGGAAGTGTTCTATTCATTGCTCTGATTAGAGGTAAGTACCCCTTTTTAGTGGTGCTGGAAATCAAACCCAGGGCCTCACAACTGCATCACAAGCACTTCACCACTGAGTTACATCCTTCAACCTTGAAAAATGCTTTCTAAGTAAACTATACATGATGTACTAATTTTATTTTGTAATCTGTCTTTCCTACTCATGACATTCTTCCTTGAAATAAATAGAAACCCACACTGGTCTAGCTGTTTGAAACAAACCTGGTCATCTGTTCTTAGTCTACAGAATCTTAAACATGTTAGCATTTTAACATGGTTTTGTCATTTTGTTTGTTTTATCTGTTAAACACAGATATGTAATTTTGTTTTCTCTTAATGACCGCACTCCATTCCATTGTTTTCTTTCTATCTCTTGTTCTAAATACATTATTCTTTTAACCTAATCCTACTGTAATTTTTCCTGATACAAAGTCTATTTTTCCTGGTTATGGAAGCCTGTGCCAACTTGATGCAATAACCGAAGTGACTTTGGTATTTTTAACCAGAAGGTTGGTGAGATTAATTTTGTTCTCAGTTTAATACTTTTGAATGTTGTAAACTGGGCATAGTGGGTATAGCCTCTCATCCCCGCTATGCAGTAAGCATAAATAGGATCAGGGCTCAGATCAATCTAAGCATAAACCAAAAGACCCTATTCCAAACGTAAAGTAGAAAGGGCTACAGGAAGGGCTTAAGTATAAGATATCTCCTAGCAAGGACAGCCCTGAGTTTAAACTTCAGGACGACAGATATACTAAGTGTATTGTTTTGTTAAAATATGTCTGCATTTTAGTGCTTTTATTCCTAATGATGTAGCATGAGTGCACATCCAGTTGATGTTTTCTATCTACTTTGTTTTTCTCTAGTTTCATGCTATGGACACATTGTATAAACATGGCTACGATCTGAGTAGTGCAATTAGTGTCTTAGTGCCACTTGGAGGACCAGTCTTATGCAGAGATGAAATGGAAGAATGGTCAGCTTCTGAAGCTAGTTTATTTGAAGAAGCACTGGAAAAGTATGGCAAAGACTTCAATGACATACGTCAAGACTTTGTAAGTAGAAAGTTGTGAATGAATGGAAATGTAGCAATGGGAGTGTTTTACCTGTTTTAGAAATCTGATAAACCTTATAGTATACATTTAGCCAAGACTATGATACAGGATTTTTTTTAAATTTTATTTGGTGCCAGAGTCTTTAACATGTACTTTACTAAGCTTCAACAGCAGCATGATATAGTAAGTTTTATCTACTCTCAGTAGAATAGAGGCCAGTTTGTTGTTTTGGTTTTAGTTTTGATTCCAGTCCTGGAACTTGAACTCAGGGCCTGAGCACTGTCCCTGAGCTTTTCTGCTTAAGGCTAACATTCTACTGTTTGAGCCACAGCTCTACTTCCAGGTTTTTGGTAATTTATTAGAGATAAGAGTCTCATAGAGTTTCCTCCCTAGGCTGGCTTTGAACCCCAATCCTCAGATCTTGGCCTCCTGAGTGGCTAAGATTACGGCATGAGCCACCAGTGCCCAGCAGAAGGCCAATTTTATAAAGTAAGAAATTAATATTTGTTCTGAGCAGTAATTGTAAAATCCAGGGTCATTCTCATCTGTTTGGTCTGTTGCCATGTATTATATGTATTCTGTCCCCGCCATTTGAGCAGTGGTGGATAAGAGGTGATCTAAACAATTACAGGCTTCAAAGGCTTCACTTTTGCTTTCTCTCCTTTCACCCTTCTGGAAGTGTGGGTAGCCCACTAGGCCTCACTCCAGCAATGAGATCCTCCTGCCTCAGCCTTCTGAAAGCTGGAATTACTGACATGTACTTCAGATCCTTACCTATGCTTGATAGGGAGCCTGGAATATGAAGGTTCCTCCCAGTGTATCTGTCCTTGCCTCTGCAGGCCTTGCATTACACAGATCTTGCTGAACTATTTGTTTCTGAGTCATTTTGTGCCTACCACTTTTATTCTAGCAAAAAGGGGTGTCTTATGTACCATCTTCAGTATCCCTCCTTAGTTCAGTTCTTAAGTTTGGTCTTATCCACCTATATTTAATGGGCAAAAATGAGTTACAAGTGTTTTTTAGGCATTGTAGTTAGGCAAGTGAACTAATAATAAGTGGGAAGTTAGGCAGGGCATAATTTAAAACAGCAGAATACATTTAATTAAGCTAATTTATTACTTTCTGTTAAAAGACTACCAGAACCTCTTGGAGGGCCAGTGATCCAAGATGAGATGTGCCACAGCAGGAGCAGTGAAGCCAGGATTTTAGCCTAGCACTGCAGTGGCACCATTGCAGCAGATACCGCACCACAGCATATGCTGCCTCTAACATCAGTGTGGTTACACAGTGCCACACACCTAGGGTCTGTTCATAGAGTGCTCTACTTCTTACCAGTTTTCATTTGCTAGCTAATACTTCTGATGATAATTGAAAGAGCCCATCTTTTATTCAACTCAAAGTAGTAAAGCAGATGTTCACCGTAATAATATTTTGTCTTCTAAAAGGATCTTCCTTCTTTATTAGGCTTCAGGATTGCTACTACATGAGGCTGAAACACTGCAGTATAATTGTGGTAGATGCTAGTGTACTATGCAAGACCACTACCACACTCAGAAGCCTGTAAGTGATGGTTGAAGGAGAAGTGGTAATGCATCAGGAGTAGGTACACTGGGATACTCCAGTGTGGTAGCCTTCATCACCTACCACTTCTCCTTAATAAAGAAAATAGTGGTGGACTGGGAATGTGATTTAGTTGTAGAGTGTTTGCCTTACATGCATGAAGCCCTAGGTTTGATTCCTCAGTACCACATAAACAGAAAAAGCCAGAAGTGGTGATGTGGCTCAAGTGGCAGAGTGCTAGTCTTGAGCAAAAGAAGCTCAGAACGTGAGTTCAAGCCTCAGGACTGGTAAAAGAAAAAGAAGGAGGAGGCAGTGGAGGAAGAGGAAGAAGAAAAAGTGGTGGTGGTGGTGGGCACAGCTAATTGGATCCTTACAGTTCATGAAAAAGTTCAATTTACATGATCAGTTGGTTTCCAACTTCAGATATTCAGGTAAATTCATACCAGCCTCTATTTCTTAAGAATAGAAGGCTTGCTTAAAACCCCGAGAGGACTATGCCATGATGATTCTATCAGGTCTTGGTAAAGGCTCCTTAAACACCACTTTTCAGTTAACTCCACCAGTTGAACACACTGGATTAAAAAAAAGAAGAATTAAAACAATAGTCAAGTGTGTTAGTGCATGCTGTACTTTCAGCTGCTCTGGAGGATCAAGGATTAGAGGCCATCCTGGGTAGAGTTAGTGAAGTACTGTCTCAAAAACAGAATACAAGTAAAGGGTTAGGGATGTGGGTCTAAGTGGTAGTCCTGGAGTCAGTTCCCAGCACCACTAAAAACAGCACAACAGCCGGGTGCCAGTGGCTCACGCCTGTAATCCTAGCTACTCAGGAGGCTGAGATCAGAGGATCATGGTTCAAAGACAGCCCAGGCAAGGAAAGTCTGTGAGACTCCTATCTCCAATAAACCACTAGAAAACCGGAAGTGGCGCTGTGGCTCAAGCGGTAGAGCACTCGCCTTGAGCTGAAGAGCTGAGGGATAGTGTCCAGGCCCAGAGTTCAAGCCCCACGACCGACCGACCTCCCCCTCCCCCCCCCTGAAAAAAAAACAGCACAACAAAAGACAAATATATTTGCTTCATCTGCACTTCAAAGCTAGTGTCTGCTGATCTGGTCCTATAAGGAGATCATATTTGTAAACACTGTTTTTAAGTTACCACACAGCTGAGTATACATAATGTCCTTGCTCTAAAAATCCATCTGTTTTCTCTTTAAACTGAACAGATGAGTTCAAGAGGGAGGTATTAAGAATGGCATGGGGGGCTGGGAAGGTGGCTCAGTGGTAGAGCACTTGCCTTGCATGCATGAGGCCCTGGGTTCGATTCCTCAGCACCACATAAGCAAAAAGAAAAAAGCCGGAAGTGGCGTTGTGGCTCAAGTGGTAGAGCACTAGCCTTGAGTTAAAGAGCTGAGGGACAGCGCTCAGGCCCAGAGTTCAGACCCCACAACTGAATGGCATAGATGTTGTTACAAGCAGTCCCCAGCTACAAGGAGTCTGGAAAATACTATTTTAACTCTAGTCCTTATGGTGTGGTAAGAAAGCTTGGTGGAAATCAAAGGACTGCCACCTCTGCAAAGCCTACTGCCACAGCTCGTCTGTTTTACCAGCCATTGATATCATTATGAAAGTCCAATATCCTCATTTGCACATTCAGTAACGAGAGATCCTCATTTACAGAGAGACATTGAATTTTGTCTTTGGTTGTAGGCGAGTAGGATTTCACTTGACCATGTTTGTATATGTATGGAAATTTTCAGTCATATTTATTAGTTTTTTTTTTAAGAATAGGAAACATACTTGGCTGTGTCCTTGCTTAGAGAGACAGTTGTCCATTTTACTTAAAATGGGTCAAAATGCAGTGGCTTTAAAGAATGAAAAATAATGTTTGTAGCTTAAGATATTAAATAATATTGCTGTGACCCCACCTGTCACTACTGCATAGGGTTGAGAACATTCCTGAGTAAATCTGGAAATATATTAGTCATAATATTAATTATTTTTAAATAAAATAGGTGTGAAGTATTTTTTTCTAGAATGACTCTTCCATATGAACACGTGCTTCATTATTTTAAAAAGTAGCAAACCCTTCCTACAGTAGGTTGTTTTCATTATGTGTTCATTTTTTTTAGCTCCCTTGGAAGTCATTGACAAGCATCATTGAGTATTACTACATGTGGAAAACTACTGACAGATATGTGCAGCAGGTAAATCTTTTTATATTGCTACCAACATGATTGCCTTAAAGTGTACTTGGTTTAAGCATTTTTAGAAAGGTCTTAATTTTAAATTTGCTTTATATTTTCTAGATTATTTTAAACTCCATGATATCCTATCTTCAGGATATTATTTTTTAGATTTTTCATCTTAATATTTCCTTAGAGTCCATTGTGATGAATATTTGGAAAGTGTCACAAAAAGATTACTAGAGATGCATTAATTTCCTTGCATATAGTTGATGCTTGATCTCTTTGTGAGTATAGTTGGTGGGAATCACTGAAGATGTACTACTACAACATCTTAAACTATTTATTTATATGAAGAAATGACAGTTGAGACTGATGCCATCAACTTTATACTTTGAGATATTTTTTAAACGTTTTGAAACTTTATGACATTTGTGTGGTGAATATATCCCTGAGGTTTTTTTTCTCTCTGCGCGCACGTGTGTGTGTGTGTGTGTGTGTGTGTGTGTGTATAGTACAAATCAAACCCACAGCCTTTTTGCACATGTAGGCAGGTGCTCTATCACTTAGCTATATATCCAGTCCTCCTTAAGTTTTTGACACTAATTGTAGGAATGAGACTTGGTCTTATTATGGTAAGGTCTTATTTAAGGACAAGGCTGTTCTTGAATTTGAGAGCCTCTTGTTCAGCTTCCAGGGTGCTGGGGCTACAGGAATGTACCACACTCAGCTTAGTAGCAGCTTAGTTTTACTAGATGGATGTTTGTTTCTATACCAAGATTTTTCTCCAAAATTATTTAAAAATAGGGAAGGGGCTGGGAAGGTAGCTCAGTGGTAGAGCGCTTGCCTTGCATGCCGGAGGCCCTGGGTTCGATTCCTCAGCACCACGTAAGCAAAAAGAAAAAAGCCATAAGTGGCGCTGTGGCTCAAGTGGTAGAGCGCTAGCCTTGAGCTGAAGAGCTGAGGGACAGCGCCCAGGCCCAGAGTTCAGGCCCTTTGACCGGACCAATAAATAAATAGGAAATAATTTTTGAGTCCTACTTAAATGTGAATTCAGGTAGCTCGGTCTTTGTTACTCAATTTTAAATAATACTAACTTTAGGGAAAGTTTTTTCCCCTGAAAACTGACTTTAGTCAATACTTATTTTATATTATAACAGCAACATATCAGAACTGTTAAAGAAAGGTCAGTTTAACACAGGTATTGTTTGTTCTAAGTATGAAGGTTATACAGTGGCAAGAATTATATGAAATAGGAATACATTTTAAGGGCCACTCTAAAAAGTACTATAATGAATAGCTAAGGTCACAAATAGTTAACAGATAGTTAAGTCTGATAAACAGTTTCCAGTGTCAGCAAAATACATAATGTAGAAAGTGCTTATTTGAAACAAGTTGGATAGAAATGAAGGCCATGAAGTGTGGAAACCTGTGCTATTCAAATCAAGAAGTCTTAGGATAATGGAGACAGTGGTATCAAACATTATTGAAAGTGTTTAGATAAAATATTTCCAAATATTTCATCTCTGTTTTGAAAGTTCCATGTTGTCCCCTAATTTTTTTTCTCCCAATTGGGAAAATGGAGGATAGCCTTATATTCTAGTTTGTCTTGTTTGACATTGATTATGCATTATTTCCTTCTAGTTCAATTCATTATTGTGTCACTCAGTGTCTAGATTTCAATATATAATCTCTGCATTTGGCTACTGATTGTTTTAGTAAATCCTATGTGAGTTCAACTAAGATTTAAAGTTACTGTATGTCTTCCAACATTTCTGCTTGCATGTATTTTCAAAACTAAGCACCCTGAATATTTTTCTACAAACAAAGAGTGTGTGTGTGTGTGTGTGTGTGTGTGTGTGTGTCCGTCCGTCCGTCCTAAAAGCTGAGGATATAGTTCGGTAGTAGAGTGTTTACCTGACATGCACTCTGTGTGTGTGTGTCATTTACCTGACATGCACTCTGTGTGTGTGTGTGTGTGTGTGTGTGTGTGTGTGTGTGTGTGTGTGTGTGTGTGTGTGTGTGTGTGTGTGTGTGTGTGTCCTAAAAGCTGAGGATATAGTTCGGTAGTAGAGTGTTTACCTGACATGCACAGTCCCTGGGTTAGTTCTTAGCTTCTTCCCTCCCCTGCCTGCCCTAGGAAAGAACTAAAATAGAAATGCATTTCTAAAAATAATAATGGCTAATTTAAAATGTCTTTGGGGGCTGAGAGTGTACCTCACTGGTAGATTACATGCTTAACATACGTGAGGCCCTTTGGTGGCTCATACCTATAATTCTAGCTACTCAGGCAGAGATATAGAGGATAGGATTATGGTTTCCTGGGTGGAAAAGTCCACAGACACTATCTCCCATCTCATCCCACCTCACACTACACTACCACCTTAAAAAAAAAAAAGCAAAAAGGTAGACTAAAGGTATGTCTCAATTAGTAAGAGCACCAAACAAACAAGCCAAGCAGGAATATAAGGCCCTGAGTTCAAACCCCAGTACCCCAAGTACCACCAAAAAAGAAAATAAATCTGTGTCTAAATGTTGTTCATACCCACAATTCTGAAGTTGCTGCAATTTAAGAAGACATATACAAAAGAAAAGCTTTAAAATAGCAATTTTTGAATTTGAATTATACTTTAATATTTATTGTGAATTTTTAAGACAATGGAGTGGTAATAATTAGTAGGCATTGCATGTAAAATATTTTATCCATCTTTTGATTAGAAACGCCTAAAAGCAGCTGAAGCTGAGAGTAAACTGAAACAAGTATATATCCCAACTTAGTAAGTAATTGAAATCTTTTAAAATATTTGTTCTGATCTTAATTCTGTTGTTACAAACATATCATTTTGTTCAGTTTCAGACAAACTAAATTTCTTTGTGAATCTTACTTTTTTTTAAATTCAAAGCATTAGACTTCCTTTTAATGTATTTGGGAGGGGGGGCTTGCTTAGAAAGAAAAAGAGTGAGAGAAATCCTAAGTAGACTAACACAAGGACTAGAATAAAGAATGTCATGTACTTCTAAGGAAGCTACTCTATTCTGTGAAAGCTGCAGGAAAAGTATCAGAAAACTTAGCATGAGTTATTATTTGAAGCTAATGTGTTTTATGGGACTAACAACTTTTGAAACTTTTTTTATTACAGAATAGGTTTTGGGAGGGAATTAAACTATTGGTAAATGTTCAGTGGGTTCAAATTTTTTGTGTCCAACATTCTGTTATTATGAGTTAAAAAGCTCTGTCACATTAAAATGAATGCCGATATTCTTTTCATTTGCTATGTTCTTAATGGAGTATGTACTTCTGTTGAGTTCTTTGGGGTTTGATCATTCATTTGTTTAGCAAAATACAGTTTATTGGGTACCATTTACTTTTTGCTATCCTAGATTCCTTTGAGATTAAATGAAGTATATTATAGATTTCTATGCTCCTTCAAGAATTTTATTTTTTGCCCTAAGTATAATTGTTTTATATTTAGATTTATGTTTACTGTTTTTTATGTAGAAAACCTCATGGACAGTAGTTGTTAAATTGACAATATGAATCTTTCATATTCATCTCATTTTAACAGATAACTGGTTTCATTTTTAAAACATGATTTTCAGGATCTGTAATTATTATGTACCTTTTGAGGAATGGTTTTTAATGCCTTCTAAATTATGTATTTTATTTGATTAACTCATAAAAACACTACTTCAAAAATCAGACTGTTGTGACTCATGTATTAGATTTTCAAAAGCAAACACAACAGCTTTCTTCTACTGCAAAGGACTAGTACACTTAACTAGTTTTGACCAAGTAACCCAGATCAAGTTGTGTTCTGTGTTACACTAACTTTGGTATTTTGATCTACATCAGGGATCTGCAAACTAGTCTGTGGCTCATCTCTGATGTTTCACCTGGTTTTTGTAAATTAGACATGCTTATTCATTTATATATTATATAAGATGGTTCAGATAGGCTACAAGGTCAGAATTTAGTGATTATAACAAAAAATTATATTAGCTACAAAACTTAAAATACTTAACAATGCCTGGGTAGTAATTACTCAGCTGCTTAGGAGGCTGAGATCTAAGGATTGCTCATTGAAGCCAGCCAAGACAGGAAAGGCCATGAGACTCATCTCCAGTTAACCACCAGAAAACCGAAAGTGGAGCTGTTATTCAAAGTGATAGAGTGCTAGCTTTGAGCAAAAGAAACTCAGGAACAGCTCCGAGGCCCAGGCCCTGAGTTTAAGCCCCACAATCAGGGCAAACAAACCAAAAAACCCAGAACAAAATGGCCCTCTACAAAAAAGTTTTGTATTCTCTTATCTAAGCAAATTATCTTTTTCCTTTCTCCCTTTTTCCTCCTCTTCCTTTCTCTTTCTTTCTTTCTTTCTTTCTTTCTTTCTTTCTTTCTTTCTTTCTTTCTTTCTTTCTTCCTTCCTTTCTTTTTTTTTTTTTTGGTGCTGGGTTTTGAATTCAGGGCCTTCACTTTTGCTAGACAGATATTTTGCCATTTGAACCATAACCCCCAGCCCTAAGTGGTTTTTGGAGATCAAAACAGTTTCTAGGGCCAGGAGTATGGCTCAAGTAGTAGATCACTTACCGTGTAAGCCTGAAATTTAAACCCTAGTGCCACCAAAAGTGAGCATGGAGATAGTTCCTAATCATATTTAAAAAATAATTTATACAACTCATATACAGTCTAAGTTGCTCAGATATGAATCTGAGCTCTTAGGTGAACTTCCAGACTAACTCTTAAACAGAATTTTTTAAAATGAATAATAGATTAAGAATATTTTTTTCTGTAGGTTTTTTTGGGGACTTGCAGTCTCCTTTATTCAAATCCCTCTGTACAGTACTAGAGAAAGAGGGTTAAGATGATAGTCGACTTTATTGTAGTGTTAGGAGATAGTACAGACCCAATGTGGTAAGTACTGTACATAGGAGGATGGCTTTTGTATGACTTTTATTCTGGGAACCAAGTATCTTTGGGAAAGTTTTTGAGGAGATAAGGCAAAGAAGAGTCTGAGCAAATAATGGAAGCTTTTCAGGCCAGTGGGACCTTGAGCTGAGAAGTCACACAGGTGAGGAGCAGAGAAAAAGTATGCCGGTATAAGAAGAAAGTGTCTAGCATGGAAGGCTGGTATGTTTATCTGTATGATGAACACACCTGTGTGATATACAAAGATACATCATGGTCAGATTTGTACTTGAAAATCACCAGCTATAATCTGACAATGGTTTGGGGAAAATGAGAAGTAGATTCAAGGAGACCAGTTATGAGATGTTTGGGATGACACTTATTCTACCTAGGCCAGTGGCCCTGGAAATGATATAATATTTAAAGATGATTGACTTTAGCCTGTCAAGTCTGAATTGCTAATTTCTGGCTCATAATGTTAGGGAGGTTATCAAAACCAAGCTTAGATGCCACAGCATCAGGTTAGATCATTTTGAGTTTGTTTTATCAAAAAAGAGATACTGGATCTTTGCTGTCAACAAATTATATATGTTTTAAACTGAGATGAAAAGTTCTCCACTAGGAATACAGATATGAGTTTAATCAGCATACCATAATATGTTTCAGACTATAAGTTGAAAATTTTGAAGGATAGCAACAAGAAAAGTGCCTGAGCAAATCCAGTATTTGTAGAGCAATTAGAGTATAATAGCTAACTTTGGAAAGCCAGATGAGTATGTCAGAAGCTCAGAAGAATTTTCTTTTAACCTGTCCTGGGGCTTGAACTCAGGGCCTAGGCACTATTCCTGACCTTTTTCTGCTTAAGGCTAGCACTCTACCATTTGAGCCACAATGCCACTTCCGGCCATTTCTAAGTACTTTATTGGAGATAAGAGTCTCACAGACTTTCTTCCCTGGGCTGGCTTTGAATCACAATCCTTAGATTTCAGCCTCTTGAGTAGCTAGGATTATAGGTGTGAGCCACCAGCACCTAGTGAGAAGAACGTTTTAAGGAACGAGCCATTAATTAACATTGTCAAGTGGTGATGAAAAATAGCCAGGGAATTTGGCAACATAGAGACTATTGGTAGTCTTTAATGGAGTGGTCAGGACTCTACATGAGCTAAGAGAATACAAATGGGGAAGGGGGAGGAAGAGAGGAGAGAAAGAAGTGTAAGAGGGTTTTTTTTTTAATAGAAGAAATGGAAATATGTATAAGAGGAGAACCCAGAGAAGAGGATGATATGTAAAAGTCCTTAAGAGGACCACAAAAGCAAAGTCTGGAGCATAGATGGAGCATTTTTGTGCTAGATTAAAGGAAGGTCTATTTCATATATTGTATCTTTAACACCTTTTAAAAAATGGTGTCTTGCAGTAAGAAATAACATCAATAATTTAATCTTCAGATACTTGGTTGGTTGTCTATTTTCTGTGTGTATATATTTTTGAGAAATATAGCCCAGCCTGGCCTTGAATTTATGCTCTTCCTGCCTTAGCCTCTCAAGTGCTGGGATTATAGGTAAATCCCCTGGCCTAGGCACTTTATTTTGTCTAGGAGATGATTTCTTTTTTCAGGGGTGGGAGGTAGGGGGAGTGCAATACTGGGCTTTGAACTTGGCCTCCCTCTTGCTAGGCAGATGCTCTACCATATGAGTCATGCCTCCAAGACTAGATGATACTTTCAATGATTCACTTGCCAGCATATTTACTGGGCATACTTACTTTACTTTTGTGATTATTACCAGTAAGATCAGTGGCCTATTCAACTATATAATAGTTTACATTCATTTGCCAACTAAATTTGTATTTGCTTTCCTTTGGTTTGAAGCAGCTCAACTAAAGAATTTATTAGTTTTCTTTATTAACATATATCTACTATATATATGTATATATTTAGCCCTGTTTAAAATGTTAGAATTTTTCATATTTCTGGGAAATTTTTGACCAGTTATTTTATTTCAAGGAGGAGGTATCATTTCTGTCTTTATATGGAATTCTCTATAGATTTTTTAAAATTGGAAATATTGCATATCCTTAGAAATGTTGGTTATCCAAACCAGTCCTTTTTTTATTTTGTATACTTGCAGCTGACCATTGTAAGAAAAACATTGTTGATTTAACATACATTTTTAAAACAAGTTTATTATTGCTTAAGACGTGGCTCAGTGGTAAAGCCACTACCTAGCATGTATGAATAAAGCCCTGGATTTGATCACCAGAACTAAAAACAAAAACAATTTGCAACCTGACCTCCAGTATAGATACAGATTCATGTTTACTTTTGAAGGTAATATTACCAGACTTTCAGCTGAATGAAAAATGCTGAAAAGAAAAGAAGGTTCTTTGTTCTCAGGCCAGAAGAAGTTTGCACGTGAGATTTTGATTGTTAAATGAAATGGTGGCAAGAAGAAACCCTGAGCCAACTTGGAGGCCACAGGGTTTTGATCTTCCTTCAGCCATGGGAAGGAAGGCAGCATCTAGGATGATGCGCTAAGGGATTTGCATTTGGATGAACAAGAGTCTGCTTGCTTATTCCATAGCCTTATTTTGTTACGTATACGTGGTTTTTAACACCTTGTTTTTACCAGTTCACTTATTCTTTGCTAAATATTGTGTTTATTTGTATTTAGATAAGGTAAATTAGTAAGGCGATACCAATCGTTTTGCCCTGTTATATGAATTATCTTTTATCACCTCATTTACATTTCATTGAAAGCAGCAAACCAAATCCTAACCAAATATCTACCACCAATGGCAAGCTTGGTGCTGTGAATGGAGCTGTGGGGACCACGTTCCAGCCCCAGAATCCCCTTTTAGGGAGAGCCTGTGAGAGCTGTTATGGTAAGTCTGCTCCAGCAGACTCTATTTTTCTCTTTTGAAACCTGTCCTTTGTTAAGTGTAGGGACTGTAGGGACTGGATCTACATTGTGGGTTGGGATTGACTGCAAAACAGTGTCTTCTCAGGCTTTCTGCCAGACACAAGTATGTGTGTCTTGGGGGTGGGGAGTGTAGGGGCAGCAGAAAGATGGGCATTGTGTTTCTTTTGATTTTCCTCTCTGGGTTCTCTAAATGATTTTAGTGTTTGCTCAGCTGTGGGTAGAATTGTATTAGCTTTGTCCAAACCATGGTCCCATGATACACACCAAATCCCCTTCTGGGTTCCTTAGTATCCTTTAGCAAATTAAAGATGTCCAGTAATTCTGTAGGAAAGATCTGTGTGTGGATAAACTGCTACTTGTAATCCTCAGACAGGCTCCCTCATGAGACAAGTTTGGGAGGTTCCATGATATTTTCTTTTGGTTCTAGATACTATTTATCCATGCCAGCAGGATTATATGTGTCCTGTGTGTTAAGTAGGGCCAGTGAGATGATCTGATTTGGTAGGTGATACACTTCATGGATTTATTTAAACCATCAAGCCAACAATACAACTCTTTGTAGGGCATTGGTATCATCATAGGTTTTTCTTCCAATGGAGATGACCTGGGTGGGAGAGAGAAGGAAGCTAATGTTTATTGAAAGTGCCCACTGTTTGGCTCTTGCAACTCTTTGGAGATAAGCCTTAAGGACATGGGAGTGAGGGCCTTCATGACTTCTGTGTGCTCTATACCAGACTTTGGAAAAAATGTTTAAAACCAAATTAGTACTCTCTCTTGAAATCAACGGAGATGGGAATTAAATTGCTGACTTTATAGTAACGGAATGTGGGGGTGTGTCTAACAGTTTTTCTGTACCGAGAGAGCACAAAGGGATACAATTGAGAATTCTTAATTTTTTTGAAGATCATATATATTTAAATGAAAATACAATTCTTTCTTCAATTGTGTCAGTGGCTTAATTATTTTTGAGATAAGTTCTCACTGGGATCCTAGACTGGCCTTAAATTCCTGGGATCAAGTGATCTTCCTGCCTCAGTATCTGTAGGAGCTGAGGTTATAGGCATGTAACACTCACTATACCTGGTGTTCTGTCTTCTTTTTGACTTTCAAATACCTTTCATAAGCATGCACATGAATATATTGCTTTAAATAATTGTCATTGTAATGTGTCTGATTAATGAAATATTTTTTCCTCTCCCTCCTCTCTCTCTTTGGCTAATACTGGGTCCTGAAATTAGGGCTTTGCACTCTAGCTCAGCCTTTTCTGCTCACAGCTGGCATTCTACCACTTGAGCCATACCTCCACGTTCAGCTTTTTGGTAGTTAATTGTACATAATAGTCTTACAGATTTGTCTGCTTAAACTGAGAACTGCGATTCTCAAATCATGGGCCTCCTTAGAAGCTAAGTGTAAGTAAGCTACTAGCGCCCAGCTTTAATTTTATATTTTTGGTCCATAGATTATTAAAGTTATCTTAGTGTACATATAAGATTTGTGTTTATACAACCATACATTTTGGTGTTTTCTGTTGATAATCACTTATAAGTTAATTAATAAGTGAAGTTTTATATTTGGGATGCAAAATAAATTTTTGACTTGATATTTAGAATTTTTAAGATTTTGTGTCTCAACAACTAGTTATAAATTACTACAATAAGAAAGCCTTCTATTTACAAGACACTTTACCAAAAATAACACTTGATTAGTTCATTTGTTATTCCCAATAAGTGTAATGATCACTTTATTTATTTACATACTTATTTTTTTGGTGCCATTCCTAAGGCTTGAATTTTGGGCCTGGGTGTTATCCCTGAGCTTTTTTGCTAAGGTTAGTGTGCTACCACTTGAGCCACAGTTCCACTTCTGGCTTTCTGGAGGTTAATTGGATATATGTGACTCTCATACTTTCTTTCCCAGGCTGGTTTCAAACCAAAATCCTCTTATCACAGTCTCCTAAGTAGCTAGGATTACAGATGTGAGCTACTGGCACCCAGCTACACACACACACACACACACACACACACACACACACACACACTACACGCATACATGCATGTGTGTAGTGTGTGTGTTTGTTTTTAAGAGGAAGAGATGGGTTGAAACCAGCTTGTGATGCATGTTCTACTAAGGAGCTGTCTCCCTTTTTTTCCCCCAACACACACACGTACACCACCACTTTTTCTGACATTAGTTTGTGAAGTTGTTTCAGTGTCCTATTTGGGTCTGATGAAAATAATTTAGCAATCAGACTATTTCAAGGCAAAGCTACAGAATTTTAATTATTTTATATATTTCATTAACAATATTTTTCAACATCAGTTTTCTGTCTTGTCTTTGGATCCATTATGGAAATACTTTTAATGGCAGGAATTTAAATTGTAAGATCAGACCTAACACAGGTATGCAGTGTTCAGGCAAGCAATAAAGAGCTGAGTTTTAAGGACTGAACATGTTGTGATATCAGATGCATCTTGTTTAGTTAGTAAGGATTTATTGTATTGAACGATATTGTGTTTTAAAGGAGAAATACTTCAGTGTGTATTTTGTCTGTTGACAAAAATTGTGGATGCTGGTGGCTCACACCCGTAATCCAAGTCCTTGAGACACTTAATGCGAACAAACTACTCAGAAAAAGCTGGAAGTGGTAGTGTGGCTCAAGTAGTAGGACAATAGCCTTGAGCAAAAGAAGCACCCAGCTTAAGCTCCAGGACCAGCAAAAAAAACCCTAAAACTCTAAGGAATTAGCAAATAGATTTCTGTTTCTGTGAGATTTCTGACTTAGTGGAACACATATTGAATACTTTAAACAAAGCCTGGCAGAGTTTTTAAATCATTTTGGATTTTTGATTTTAAATATTTGACAGCAGTCACAGTAGTATCTTTCTGAAGACTTAGTTCCAGAAAGGTACATAAGAGCAATTTTAATTAGCAATGCAAAAATGTCCCAGCAGTAAAGTACATAAAAAGAATGCTTCACCTTGTAGCTTCTCTTAATATAGTGCCACAGGCACTTGGTATGTGTAATGAATTCTAAGTACTAACATACACACACTTATACCATACTTGTATATTATAAGCTAGGGAAAAAATAACATTGGAAACTACAGGTGATTTTGGTATATTGGAGATACCTGATTATTTGTATTGATGTCATGTTTTCTGGCTTTCTTTGTTTTCCTTTTTTCAACTTTAGCTACACAGTCTCACCAGTGGTATTCTTGGGGGCCACCTAATATGCAGTGTAGATTATGTGCATCTTGTTGGCTGTATTGGAAAAAATATGGAGGCCTGAAAATGCCCACCCAGTCAGAAGAAGAGAAGTTATCTCCTAGCTCAACTACAGAGGTACATAAATGGTAGTCTAAACTTTAGTGTGTTTTTCAATAGTATGTTTTTCAATTGTTGCTCATTCCTTGGAAACAGAAGTACAGGTAAGACAATTTGAAAGTGAATGATGTAGTTTTTATAATTAAACACAGCACTCATACTCAGGGTGGATGTGGAGTTAAGAGCCAGCGACAGATCAAATTTTTTCAGGTATTCAAAATACTAATCTTGTTAGATTGCTTAGAAGAGAGAGAGAGAGAGAGAGAGAGAGTGTGTGTGTGTGTGGTGTTAGCACAAGTAGAGTTACAAATTAGGTGTTTTAATTGCTTTTCAAATAGTTTGTAATCTTTAGATTCTATGGAAATCATCTCAAAAGTAATAAGTAGAAACTGGACATTTTCTTTCTCCCTGGCTATTATGGAGGGACAAGAAGGAATCAAACTCAAACTTACTTGAAAAGTATTAGAAAAATAATTTTGATAAAATTCTCTAGATTGTGGGTGTCAATTCCCTGTTCTACCAGAGGAAGACTATTTTTTTCAGTATTGATGGCATCTTAGGAACCTTTAATATTATTAATTAAATGTAAACAAACAAATATAAGTAAATCCTTAACAGTTTCTTAATATTATGGGTATGATTCAATTGCATTCTCTTTTTTTCCCCAGAAAGTATGCACTTTCTACTTCTCTTTTAAAGGATAGTTTCTTATGTCACAGATATATGTGGGGATGATGTAAACAGTAGACTCTTGTTTGACTGTGAGGCAGCTAGTAATGTATTTTGACAAAGTCTACTCTTTAAATGTTGGTTGGTTTCTGATTTTACAGGACCCCCGTGTTAGAAGTCACCTGTCCCGGCAGGCCATGCAGGGGATGCCAGTACGGAACACTGGGAGTCCCAAGTCTTCCGTGAAGACGCGACAAGCTTTCTTCCTTCATACTACATATTTCACAAAATTTGCTCGTCAGGTCTGCAAAAATACCCTCCGGTTGAGGCAGGCAGCAAGACGGCCATTTGTTGCTATTAATTATGCTGCCATTAGGGCAGAATGTAAGACGTTTTTAAATTCTTAACCTTATATGTTGTGCTTTCCTTACCATTTTCTCTTTTCTATCTCTCTCTCTCCCTTTTTTGTTTGTTTGCAATAAACATAAGTTCTTGTGTACAGACTTTTGTTTTTTTTTTTGTTTTGGGTTTTTTTCGTTTTTCAAAAAGGCATTGTTTTTGTCTGCTCCCATTTGTATCATACTAGCCTGAAAACAACATTAAAATCTCTGTAAATTTTCCTCAGAATAGTGCTCAGGAAAGGAATGGTAGGAGGTATGCCCCTGTCCAGTTGTTATGTTGCTGAAAGAGTTGCCAAAAAAGCCCTTATTGAAGTACTTGTACCAATTGGGTAGTACTGCAGTATAACTCCCAAGGACACTGTTCTAGTGAAACTGTCTGAGACAGCATAGTCCATTCCTATAGGAATGCATTAGGTATAAATAAAATTTACTGATTTATACTGATTAGAAATTGTATGCCTTTATAAGACTCTTCTCTTCCCTAGGCTTTTGACAACAACCATCATCAACATAATAGAAATTCACAGTGCTTCATAACAAATGCTGTATGTATTAGAAGGTTTAGCAAATTGAAAATAAATTTAAAAATCACTTTGGGCTTAGAAGCTACATTGTGGTTGAGCAGTCTATTTTTGTCCAATCTGGTTTCCATTTCATAATCATACATTGTCATATAACATTTACATGGCTCATTCATTTCCAAAACAATCTTATGTTTCATTTTTTTTGTTAGAACAAAGATCATATATACCGGTAATTTGTGGATTTCTCTGTTTATTACCATGAATCTGAAAACATGTTCATAATTTGTGTTTGAGCTCTGGAGTTACATCCTTGGCTACAATAACCATACAACCTTTTCTCTCTAAGGGATTAAAAAAATGCCATCTAGTTTAACAGGAAATCTTTTGAAAACATTCAGGTGCTTTATCTGTCAGATTTAAAAAAAATTTATTATGAGATGTTCTACTTTGATTTAAGGAAAGTATCCATAAAGAGAATGATAAATAAAAAATAACTTTTTATTCTTAAAGGTAATTTTTGGCAGAAAATTGAAAGTTGGAAGGCTTAAAACTTAAAGGTAAAAGCTCTGTAAGAAGAAGAATAGCACTTCGTGTAGGGAGTAGATACTGGCATCTATGTCAATGTCCACTGAGAGGAGTCAGCTGTGTCATATCCTGTGGATTTAAGAATCTATCCTGGCATTCTCTTTGTCCTGGCTTTTATGAGCTCATGGACTTGTTATTACTTTCTTACTACTTTAAGAAATTAGAGGGGCTGGGAAGGTAGGTCAGTGGTAAAGTGCTTGCCTCACATGCATGAGACCCTAGGTTCATTCCTGAGCACCACATAAACAGAAAAAGCCAGAAGTGGCTCTGTGGCTTAAGTGGTAGAGCACTAGCCTTGAGCTGAAGAGCTGAGGGACAGTGCGTAGGCCCAGAGTTCAGGCCCACAAGTGACAGAAGAAAAAGAAAAGAAAAAAGAAATTAGAGCCGGGTGCCAGTGGCTCATGCCTGTAATCCTAACTACTCAGGAGGCTGAGATCTGAGGATTGCAGTTCAAAGCCAGCCCAGGCAGGGAAGTCCATGAGACTCTTATCTCCAATAAACCACTCAGAAAACTAGAAGTGGCATTGTGGCTCAAGTGGTAGAGTACTAGCCTTGATTTGAAGAGCTGAGGGACAGTGCCCAGTCCCAGAGTTCAAGCCCCATGACCAACAAAAAAAAAAGAAAGAAATTAGAAAATAATATATATATTCACTTGAACAGTTCAGGTAATTTAAAAACATTTATATATTCTTTCTTTAAAAGGATAAAAACATTTGAAAAAAGTGATTGAAAATCTTCTGTTAAAATTGGCTAGGCATCTTTGATCACATGAACAGGGAAAAAAAAAGCATCACTGACTTGACTTAATTGGCTGCTGTGGAAGGGGTATGTTGTTTTTTCAGTTATTTGCACATTATATTTATCTTGATTATTGTGAATTAAATATATTATATCACTTCAGTCTAATTTTTTTTTCATTACTGGGCCATGCTGTTACAAAAAGGATCAAGATTCAATTACTTGTATTTTGTTTGTACAAGTATTTTTAAAAAGTCATTTGTTGTGAAGAGATTCAAAGAGCATATGTTCTATTTCCATTGGTTGTTGGCATACATTTGGGGCCTGATTCTTAATTTTTTTTTTTTTTTTTTGCTAGTCCTGGGACTTGAACTCAAGGCCTGTGCACTGTCCCTGAGCTTCTTTTGCTCAAGGGTAGCAGTCTACCACTTGAGCTATAGGGCCACTTCCAGCTTTTTTATTATTTATGTGGTACTGAGGAATTAAACCCAGGGCTTCATGAATGCAAGGCAAGCACTCTACCACTAAGTCCCATTCCCAGCTCCAGAATACTTTACCGTAAGTTTTTAAATTACAGTGATTGAGCAACTATCTGCTGAAATTTTTTTTTCAGACAAGCAGCTAATGAGCTGTTCCTATATCCTTATATTCTCTTCTTACATGGACTGACCTTGTTATAACTTCTTGATCAGATCTTTCATCTTCATGAGATCAAGTGTTAATAACTTGATTTGCACAGGATACTAAGCCTCTCCTGGAAATGAATAGGTAGTTGTTGTTGTTTGGTTTGTTTTGTTTTAAATCAACAAGCTTTCCTTACGGCTTTTTACCTCCAAGATTTTGTTTTTGTTTTTGTTTTTTTTTTTTTGCCAGTCCTGGGGCTTGCCTCAGGACTGGGTTGCTGTCTCTGAACCTCTTTGAGCTCAAGGCTAGCACTTTACCACTTGAGCTACAGCACCACCTCCAGTTTTTTTTGTTTTGTTTTGTTTTGTTTTTGGTTGGTTGTGGGACTTGAACTCTGGGCCTGGGTGCTGTCCCTCAGCTCTTCAGCTCAAGGTAAGCACTCTTACCACTTGAGCCACTTGCAATTTTCTGGTGGTTTCTTGGAGATAAGAGTCTCACGGACTTTCCTGCCTGGGCTGGCTTTGAACTGCGATCCTCAGATCTCAGCCTCCTGAGTAGCTAGGATTACAGGCGTGAGCCACCAGTGCTTGGCCACCTCGAGCTTTTTGTGAGTAATTTATTGGAGATAAGACTCTCATGGACTTTTCTACCTAGGCTGGCTTTGAACCATGATCCTCAGATCTCAGCCTCCTGAGTGGCTAGGATTACAGGTGTGAGCCAAAGGCATCCTGCTCCTCCAATGATTCTTAACATTTTTCCTTTAAAAGGGTTTGAGAATTACCATGTGCAATCTGAATATACTTTTGGGTCAGGTGGATCTTTATAATTTAAAAAAAACACTGATGGATCTGAAAAGGTTTTTTTTTCTTTTTAAATTTTTCAGACAAAAATTAAAACCTGGACTGTATATCCCAGTTTAGCCCAGAACTTGAGATCCTCTTGTGTTAGCCTCCCAAATGCTTGGATTATAAGCATATATTACCATGCCCAGCATAAGTATTGTATTTATTAAATTGTGATCATCTTGTTGAGAGAGGAAACCCTCGATAAGAGTTTGATATTCTTTTTAAAGCACATAAAAACTGAACCCCTCCATGGCTTCTGTACTTAACAGCAACATCACAACCAATGTCACAGCCAGAGTTTATGAAATGACAGTAAACTTTCTCCATTTGAAGTAGGAAATATGTTTCCTATTAATTTGAAACTGTGGTATCATCAACCTGTGAATACACATACCAAGTGAGGTATATATGCAAATGTAAAAAAATGCTTTTTTATTTTGGTCAGTGGTAGGACTTGGGCACTGTCCCTCAGCTCAGCTCAAGGCTAGTGCCCTATCACTTGAACCACAGTGCCACTTCCGGCTTTTTCTGTTTACGTGGTGCTGAGGAATCAAACCCAAGGCCTCATGCATGCAAGGCAAGCACTCTACCACTGAGCCACCTTCCCAGCCAAAAAATGCTTTTAACACCAGTTTCCCCAAATACCTGTTTACTTTCATTATATACTTTTTGTGAAAATAAGTCCCTGACAAAAGTCCTAGTAAAAGTACCAACCCATTTCTACCACATAGATAGTTCTTGATTGGGAGCCAAGTACATCTGGTTCACATCTGTAATCCTGGGTACTTGAAAGACAGGTCAGGAGTATCATTGTTTGAGGTCATCCAGGCATATATTCATGAATCTGGCTTACCCAATAGCTGAGTGTGATAGTGTGTACAGCCCTACATGCGAAGCTAAGATTGGGTAGATCATGGTTCTGAGTCAGCCTGAGCAATGAACTGCTAGGTGATGCTACATACCTATCTTCTCAGCTATGAAAGTAAGCATAAATAGGAGGATCACAGTCTTAAGTCATGGGCCAATCTTAAAAGGCTGAAGACATTGCTCGGTGGTAGTATCTGACTAGCAGTTCACACACACAAAAAAAAATTCCAGTACTCAAGAAGCTGAGGCATGAGGATCACAAGTTTGAGGCCAGTATGGTTTACATAGGGAGATTCTCAAAGATTCTCTTTGGTGACCAAAGCCTAAATACAGCATAAATAACTGGTAATATTCCAATAGCATAGGTGGAAACACAATGTCAAGTTTAGATAATCACGTCTCTTTTCCCTCTTGATGTTCTTCCCCATCCCCTCCAGTGAAAAAGGCCATGATGTGATCGATGATGTTATTTGCTGCTTTGTAACTGCCATTAAACATTCATTCAGAGTTAGTGGAAGACTTTGTCCTCGAGGAACAGACACCTGATGAAAATGATATAGTCACTTTGAGATTCAGGATCCTCAAACTGGCTAAGAAATAGATGGGTTAGCAGCATTCCCTAGAGACACTAAATTTCCTGGTAAAGTAGGTCCAGATGATTTACCTGTCGCCTTCGTAATTGCAGAGGTAATGTAATGGATCTGAGTTACCTGCTTTGCATGCAGTGGTATCACCCAGTGTAGTTATTTGGAGTTACCTGGAGACAAGCTTTCTGTGTGAAGATGTGAACTGAACTTTGG